CTTGGCTAAATCTAAAAATAACCAGGTGAGTTTTAATGGCTCCCTCAGGCAATCAGTGCCTGACCATCACATTTTGAAACATGTTTTGCTGGTACTGTTAGTAAGAATATTCAGGGATTCCTCTCTGACATTATAAAATCATTTTAGTCTCTTACCCTTGACAAGTACGGCTAAGTATAGCTGTTATTTTCTTCTCCCTGTAAAACCACCATGGAACAGCTGAGCAGGCCAAGACGGAGGCAGTGGAAAGGGAACAGGAGCTTCTAAGGCAAACACTGAATGAAACACAGCAAAAAATGGAGGCTCAAAAGAGAAGCTTCAAGAAAAACATAGCCCTACTGAAGGACAAAATGAAGATAGAAAAAGAAAATGAACAGAAAAACCGGGAAAAAATGGCAAAGTACATGCAGAGTGTAAGTCTGGGCATGGGGTGGGCAAAGTCTAAAGGTAAGTAACATGGTTTCTCATGAAGGGAAGAGCAAAAGTTTTAATTAAAGTTACAAATGATTCCATGAAATGTCAAGTTAATTGGATCATTCTAAAACCCTAAGTCTTAAAGAATAAGCACCTTCTGTGGTATTAGAGTTTTGGGAAGTCAGTTAACATGCCCCATGCTTCCGAACCGCTGTTTGTGGTTATTATAGAGTTTCCTTGTGCCCCAAGTGACTATGACTTCAGTTCTTAGGATGTTTGATATACCCATCAAAAACACCTGATACAGTGCTAACTGGTCTCAAAGTCTCAGATTATACATGATATGAAATATGGGATGCTGAAAATTCTAAAATGTGCTGCATTCGTTTCCACATCAGCCTGCTTCTTTCTACATGTCCAGAGTAAATGCATTTTTTGTCCTTATCTAGAGTTTGCTTGCCAGTGTTCTTGAGAGTCAGCAGTTCCCATTATGGGTAACATGTGTGTAGCCATCCTTCTTCAGTGGAACTGAGAAATAGAACTAAACCTCCATCCCTCCCAAAGAACATCTCTAGGACTGAAACACATTCCTGGCATAGCTGTCAGGCCTGACCCAGCCCCAACCCTTCTCCACCCTCAGTGGGATCCTGCTAAGGGCACATAGGAAGAAACAAACTCCTACGACCATGTCTAAAGGTTTGGAAATACTAGACAAAAACATCAAAGAGCTATTTGAATTTTACAATGGTTGTTATTTGGTTGATAAAACTAAATTGAATTAATGCATGTATTGCTGGGTTTTGCTTAAACTCATAGTCTTTATTTCTTAATTCTAATTTATGCTGCATCACTAGGTTGAAGAGTTATTGAGGAAACACCAGGAGGAAGAGATGCAAAATAAGATTGAAGGTGAGAACAGCTAAATATACTCTGAATATAAAATTAATAAATTCTACTTCAAAATTAAGAACTCTGCTCTTTGAAAAAGTAGACTTTTCATTGAATTAAAAGGCCAGACACAGATTGGAAATAGCTATTTTCAAATCACACATCAGATAAAGGACTTGTATCCAAAATATTTAAAGAACTCTTAAAACTCAACAAATATCTCATTAATTGGAAAAGCAAACATCTGAAATATGAGGAAAAATGATATAATTTGAACAGATATCTCATCAAAAACATATATTTGGATGGCAATAAGCACATTAAACAACATCATCAGTTATTAACAACATCATTACTTATTACAAAAGTGGAAATTCAAGCCACAATGAGATAGCACTGTGCACTACTAGAAAGGCTAAAATTAAAAAGACTAAACATTTCAAGTGTTAGTGAGAATGTGGAGCAACTGGAACCCTTATACCCTGCTGTGGGAATGTAAAATGGTAAATTGCTCTGGAAAACAGTTTGTCAGTTTCTTAAAAAGTTTAACAAATACCATGCCATCTAATCATTTGTTCCTAGATATATCCTCAGTAAAGTTGAAAGTTTATGTACATACAATAACTTGTTTGAAAATGTTCATAGCTGCTTTCTTGGTAATAGCCAATAACTGGAAACAAACCAAATGTACATTAATAGATGGACAACAAAATTTAACAAATCCATACAAAAAATACTACTGAGCAATAACATGAAATAAATGATTGATACATAAAACAATGTTACAGAAATAAATATGCTTAGTGAAAGAAGGCAGACAAAAAGTCTACATAGTGTATGATTCCATTTATGTAAAATTCCAGAAAAAGCAAACTATTCTCTAGTCACAGAAACTGGCCAGTGGTTTTGCCTGATGATGGGGATGAGGTTTTATGTTCAGGAGGAGAGCCAAAGGGCATGAGGAGATGTTTCAGTCATATGTATGTTCCTAACTTGATTGTGGTGGTTTATCAGGTGTATACAAGTATCATAGATAGATAAAAATGCATTTGGCAGTAAATAGTGTTACCATTATACATCAGTAAAGCTGTTCAAAAAAATAAAAATTCCAGATAGATGGGAAACCCTAGAAATGTTGTCAACAACATTAATGCACTAGAAATCATTATTGTAGTGCAAATAATAGCAAGTATAGTTCATAGTTCAAGGAGATTTTTAACTGTTGTTTACAGTTGTCTTTTGCTTCCTCTGTGCAAAAGCTATCACAAGAGGTTTTCTCACTGAAATAAGAATAAGACAAAAAAGAATGGGTGAAAGGCAAAATAAGCCATAAAAACTTAATCCTCATGTTTCTCTGCTTATTTTTTTTTGTCAGTGCAACGTATAAAGGCTGAATCTGAAGCAACTACAAGAAAAATATTGGAGGAAGTACAAAAAAAGAATGAAAGGTGGAAAGAAGAGAGAGAAAAGAATTATCAGGAACATATGAAAAG